TTATCAGGAATTTAAAAGAAGTGAGAGAACTGCCAGACTAAAACCCTTCCCACTTCTCTATGGTTTTAATGTAAACAATGTTTATCAGGCTTACAACTATAAAATCAAAACGACAGACTCACCCTGTCTCATTCTTACAAAAAGTGATTTTCATCTCTGCACTCACAAATTTATGGAAAAATAACTGGCTCAATCCATCTCCTTCAAAGATATATTTTCCATGACATTTTAATGAAGATTAATTAACTTTTATGTTTAAAGATTCTCTCATATGATGAAATGCTATGTATTTATTTTAATCATATGTACTACTAATAATTACAACAACATTTCAATCCAGAAGGAAAAATAATTAACCCTTAGAACCTCATGGTCACAGAAAATTTTTGAGAGTTAACAAGTTCAAATTTATCTACATAATTGTGTGACAGAAATGTACAATAGGGTGCTTCATAAAATATTACCAAGGATGAAAATACATTATGCTTGGATAAAACTCCACAGCAGAAGCTGAATGGGAAGAAAAAAAAGAATGTTGCATATTACGTCAAATAAAAAAACAAATCCAGATTTCATAAAGAGAGATTTTATTTAAAAGGATGATTTTGGGGTGGGGTGAGGGTGGTAAGACTTTCTAAACAGGGAGAACACTCAGGCCATAAATCTACAAACTCTCAAGGGGTAGGCAAAAAGGGATTTATTTCCTTTTCTAGGGAGGAGTAAGCCAGTCTAGAAAGAACCTGGTGTAGGCAAGTGGGATGAATGAGAGTGACAGGATGAGGCAGTAGATCAGGGATTGCTTTATCCTGAGGCCAGCCTGTTCTCAAGGTTGCTGTTACAGAGGGATTTCATGCTGGTTTAGGCTGAGGGTGGGCCAAGATTCAGAGGCCTTGGGGAAGGACAAAAGCTCAACCAAAGTTTTATTAATGAGCATTTTTTTCCAGCTGATCAATGGGCCAAGCAGTTCACCTAATCACTTATGAGGCAAATGGGAACTGGGGGTGTCTGTATCCAGTCTGGTAACAGGGTGTAGTGGGGAATTGCCATAGAGGGGAATCCATGAGTTTTATCTCAGTCATATGGGGAAGGGTGTTTCTTTGCAGTGAGCCATTTCCAGAACCCGAGAGGGTGGGGTTGAGGTGGGGTTTGGGGGTGAGGGGTTAATCATTGCTTTTCTCTAGCAGTGCTTAGGTAAAACGCAACATTGTCAGAAATAGTTTTTTCATGTACTTTAAAAATGAAGGTCGGGCGCTGTGGCTCATGCCTGTAATCCCAACACTTTGGGAGGCCAAGGTGGGTGAATCACCTGAGGTCTCAAGTTTGAGACCAGCCTGGCCAACATGGTGAAACCCTGTCTCTACTAAAAACACAAAAATTACCTAGGTATTGTGGTGGTCACCTATAATCCCAGCTACTCAGGAGGCTGAGGCACGAGAATCTCCTGAACCCCGGAGATAGAGGTTGCAGTGAGCCAAGATCATGCCACTGTACTCCAGCCTGGGCAATAGCGCAAGACTCTGTCTCAATAAATAAATAAATAAATAAATAAATAAATAAAGAAGCTAGGCAAGGTGGCACATGCCTGTAGTCCCAGCTACTTTTGAGGCTGAGGCAGGAGGATCACTTGAGGAGAGCAGGAGTTCGAGGCCACAGTGCACTATGATTGTGCTACCCTCCAGCCTGGGCAATATCGTGAGACCCCACCTCTACAAAAAATAAATAAATGAAAATGAATAATATTTGTATCAAATCATTATGATATTTAGAGTCCATTGCATTCATTTAATGACATATTTTTAAGATGTCCATATTTACAGATGCTCCATGACTTAACAATGAGGCCATGTCCTGATAAACCCACTATAATTCACGAGTTGAAAATGTGCTTAATCCATCTAACCTACCAAACATCTATAGCTTAGCCTGACATACCTTAGATGTACTCACAACATTTACATTGGCCTAAAGTTGGGCAAAATCATCTAACACAAATGCTATAATAAGGTACTGAATATGTCATATAATTTATTCAAGACTGTACTGAAAATAAAAAACAGAATGATTGCATGGGCACTTGAAGTAAGGTTTCTACTAAATGTGTATTGTTTTTGCACTATTGTAAAGTGAAAAAAACATTAAATTGAGCCATTGTAGGTCAGGGACCATCTATACTTACATTTATCATAAAAAAAATTGCTAAGTGAAAAAACCTGATGTCCCAAGTATTCAGTAAGGGTGGTCTCACACTGGCATCTTGACTGTAGATGGTAGTACTCATACCCATTCTTTCTTAGGGAAACCACTAAACTCACCCTCCAACTTCTGCTAGCTATGTGACTTTTGGCAAGGCTCTTGACCTCGCTGAACCAAGTCAGCCCTTCCCTTCTACCCAGAGGCTGCCTCTGGATTGAGTAAAAATGTCTCCTCCTAGGCCAGGTGCGGTGGCTCACGCCTGTAATCCCAACACTTTGGGAAGCAGAGGCCAGTGGATCACAAGGTCAGGAGTTTAAGACCACCCTGGCCAACATGGTGAAACTCCATCTCTACTGAAAATACAAAAATTAGCCGGGCATGGTGGCACGTGCCTGTAATCTCAGCTACTCAGAAGGCTGAGGCAGGAGAATCACTTGAACCTGGGAGGCAGAGGTTGCAGTGAGCCGAGATCGCGCCACTGCACTCCAGCCTGGGTGACAGAGCAAGACTACATCTTGAAGAAAAAAAAAACAACAACTCCTCCTACCACAAAGACGAGGCCTTCTTTATAACAGAGCTTGTTTAGGCTGGGGCCTGGTGGGGAAAAACCCGTGATCCAAGCTCTGACCTCACAGACCCCATCATTTCCCCCTCCGCATTTTCAATCTGAAAACACTTGAGACAGGATTTGACCTATTTTGCATTTACAAATCATTATGCTACAGTCAGAGTGCCATTCTTCCTGCCCTGTGTACTCATTTTGAGGACTTTTTGGGGTACTGTGGGGATCCCCATGGTGCTGGGCCAGGTGCAGACTTGAAAGAGAGTGTTGATCTGCTCAATGTTTAGAGCAATTGTTCTCCATGTGTCGTCCTAGCCCAGCAGCATGGGCATTTACCTGGGAGTTTGTTGGACCTACTGAATCAGAAAATCAGGGTGTGGGGCCCAGAAAGTCAGGGGATGAGGCCCAGAAAGTCAAGGGGTAGGATTAAGAAAATTAGGGGGTGGGGCCCAGCATTTTAACAAGCTGATGAAATAGCTAATCCTGAGGCATGCTGAAGTTTAGGATCCATTGCGTTGGAGAGTATGAAGCTGACAACACTCCCAGTGCTAAATGTGAATAATGTACTTGTTTTATTCACACAGCTCCCCCCTCTCTTAGCTCTCTTGATCCAGCAGTAGCTGGACTTTGGACCTACCAGGACACAGCCTGGCACCGAGACAATTAAGGTACCTTTGTACCATCCCCCAACTTCTGAGAATGTCCAGGATTCTCAGACCCAGACTAAGTCTCACATGGCTAATTTTTTAATGGAAGACTGGAGGGATTTGATCCAGGGGGGTTTTATTCTCTGCGGTTGCTTGCTCCATTCTAGATAGAGTCCCCTCACATATAAAATTAATCCTTCATTCAGTGGTCCCCAGTCTTGACTCAACATGCTGAACTGTAAAATACACAGATGCTTGGGGTCACACCCCAAGATTCTGATTTAACTGGTCTGGGGTGGGGCCTGAACAGGACGGTTTCTAAATCTCCGCAGGTGTTAGTAGTTTGTCGCTGAGACTGACGAATTGCCGCTAAAGTGGAGTTACCTAAAGCTTCCAGCAGAGGACGCTGCCTCTCTGCCCATCCACGGAAACATGAGCAGGGAAACCTGACAGCCGCAGTTGCGATGGGTGGGGCTGAAAATCAGGCTGCTTCCTAAACCTGGTTGATGCAGTTAAGGCGAGGAGCCAGATGCCCTGACCCTTGATTCGCCGACGCTTTTGTGTTGAGACTCCAAGAAAGTTACCTTAAAAAGTTGTAAGTTAGGGCTGGACGCTGTGGCTTGTGCTGTAATTCCAGCATTTTAGAAAGCCAAGGTGGGAGGATCACTTGAGCCCAGGAATTTAAGACCAGCCTGAGCAACACAGGGAGACTCCGTCTCTACAAAAAATACAAAAATTAGCCAGGCGTGGTGGTGGGTGTCTGTAGTCTCAGCTGATCGGGAGGCTGAGGGAGGAGGATTGCCTGAGCCCAGGAGGCTGGGGCGGCATTCAGCCTAGATCACACCACTGCACTCCAGCCTGGGTGACAAAGTCAGACCCAATTTCAATAAATAAATAAATAAAAACAGTAGTAAATTGTCTATTTTGCTGAGTGACCAAGAGATAAGTCACAACCTCTGCAGGCCTTGATTTTAGTATTTTTAAAGTGGGGAAGGATTTGGTCTACATTCATCTTTCAATATATATTGAGCCCCCTGAAATGGGCAAGATACTGATCTGGAAGGGGAAGGATACATATTTAAATGGGATAAAATTCCTACATGATAAGGGAGACTAATAGAAAGATGGTGGTTTCCATTTGTTCCTATTTCAGGATTGCAGACTTGTGGGTGCCCAAGGCTGGTGAAGAGGACAACCATGAAAACTATGAAAGAAAAGGCAGAAAAGACCAATATTGTGTATATACCTATGCCATTTTGTATTGTGACACTTCACTTGCCTACTAATCATAACAACCTAACAATGTAGATGTGATCAATTCTGTTTTACAGTTGAGGAATCTGAGACTCAGAGATGTTAAGTGACAGACTCAAAGTCACACAGCTCGTAAGCAATGGAGCCAGGATTGAAACTAGGATATGTTTGACTTCAGAGCCAGGACTCCCCCCACCACTTAACACAGGCTCTCGTATCCATCCCTCAAATCAGGAATGCACCCCACTTCCCTCCCCAGATGCTTGTTTCACTGAGGCACAATCTCTCCCTGTTCCATCCCCACACCAGCCCCAGATGCTGAGGGCTGCCCAGGAGAGACTCACCTCCCCTCCTCTCCTGTTCTCCAGCTCTGCCCTTCCTGCCCAATCTGGGCTTCTCTCCCACTGTGAAGGACAGACACCTGCTGAGTGACACCAATTTGCAGACTTCTGAAGTGTAAATGCGATTTCTAATAGGACTGGCTTCCCACTGGCTTCAGGCAGGGTTAGCAGTAAAGGGAAATTTAAAAGACTGGAAGTGCAGAAGAAGAGAGCCAGTTTGGAGGAGAGGGAGCAGCAGAAGCAGAGGCAACCACAGTCTCTGGATAGAAGTGAAGGGCTGACTTGGTTCAGAGAGGTCAAGTGCCTTGCTAAAGGTCACACAGCTAGCAACCGGAAGAGGTAGAATGAGCTCAGCTAATGGCTGCAATTTTCGCATTCCCTAAATGAGTACAATCTCCAATCCCCAACTTAAGTTTGTAATATGCTTTAGTGTCCTCTGCTGTATGGATGGAGGAGGGTGGGAATATACTTAGGAATAGGGAGGGCATTTGGATTTGTTGATTGAAAAATGAATCTACACTGAAAGTATCATCACCGTGACTCAGTGCTCAACTTAAGGCAAGGTACCCCCCAGGCAGAGGGATCAAGAAAGGCTGGGAGGCCAGGCAAGGTGGCTGATGCCTATAATCCCAGCACTTTGGGAGGCTGAGGTGGGCAGATCACCTGAGGTCACGAGTTCGAGACCAGCCTGGCCAACATGGCAAACCCCTGTCTCTACTAAAAATACAAAAAATCAGCTAGGCTGGTGGCATTCACCTGTAATCCCAGCTAGTTGGGAGGCTGAGGCTCAAGAATCACTTGAACCTAGGAGGTGGAGGTTGCAGTGAGTCAGGACTGCACCACTGCACTCCAGCCTGGGACAGAGTAAGATTCTGTCTCAAAAAAAAAAAAAAAAAAAAAAAAAAAAGCCTGGGAAATGCTTTTTCTGATCACTAATTCTAATCGTATTCCTGCCACAGTGGGGGATGGCCCCCAAGCACTGGACTGTTTTTCTCTTGGCCATACTTCTGGATGTCACAGCAGAGAGGCATGTACTAAGATCAAGAAATTCCATATACACAAGTCCACTCCCTCAGTTGTGGGGCAGGCACCAGACAAGCTCTGAGCTCAGGTGTGCCCCCTTGCTGCCAGGTGCACCGAACATCCGGCAACCTTGGTCTCCAGTACATACCTCTTGGTACCTGCGTATACTGTGGCTGTCGGGCCACAGACAACGAGGCCCTGAACCCCAGGGTGTGGGGTCACAAGATGCCTCCATTATAGGTGCCCCAAAATGATTGTTGGGGGAATTAGTAATTAAGGAGGGTTTTTCTCCCCCTGCCCTTCAGGCAGTGGTATGGAAGCAGTCCACTGCTCCCTGAAAACAGAGACCCTGCCCCACTTCCCTGCTCAAACCATAGTTTGTCCGTGTTTCTGGAAGAGTCTGCCGAGGGGTGTTCAGGGTGGTTACCAGAGATGTTTTCTAGGAAACACAAAAGATACAAAAAAGAACATGAGGAAGGATAGCAAAAAAGGGGGGCTCCCCCCATTTCCTGCACCCCGCTGCAATGGCTGGCACCATTCGGCAGACTGGGATTTGTTGTTGAGCGCAGTAAGACAACAACAAAATCACTAGTCTTCCAGACGGGGCCAGCCAGTTCACTCTGTATCCAGGCCAGTTCTGCAAGGCGTTCGAGGACCATCCCCCACCCCTCGCCACCAGGTCAGGGGTCTGGATGCTCCTTCAGGCTAGGCGTTGTCTCTGCTCCTATTACCAAATTCATCTCCTCTGAACACCTCTCCTCACCTCAAAATTCCCTGGAAAAATTATTTTATTTCTTACTTTTCCCTTTTTTCTGGAGTGTTCTACTTTCTGTAATGGACATAGTTGTTTTGTTTTGTTTTGTTGAGACAAGGTCTTGCTCTGTCACCCAGACTGTAGTGCAGTGATGCAATCATGTCTCACTCCAGCTTCGGTCTTCCAGATTCAAGTGCTCAAGTGATTCTTCCATCTCAGCCTCCCTAGAAGCTGGGACTACAGCTAATTTTTTTTTTAGTAGAGACAAGCTCTCACTATATTGCCCAGGCTGGTCTCAAACTCCCGGGCTCAAGTGATCCTCCTGCCTCAGCCTCTCAAAGTGCTGGGATTATAGATGTGAACCACTGCACCCAATTTGAGCATACTTCCTTTACAAATAGGGGAATTATTTTTAAGGAGAAGCAGGCAGGTAGCTCATTTCTCTCTTTTCTTTACTAATCATGAAGCACTGAAGCACCATGGAGAAGGGAAAGTAGAGCTCGGAAATGGTGACCCCTCTCTACTGGTGCCTCCCCCTTCTGGAAGCCTATGGGCATGGCCCATGGTGAAAATTCTTCCAGTGGTTACTGAGACCTGGAAGCATTGGAAGTACAGATTCAGAATGAAGTCAGAGTGGTGGTGCTGGGGTAAGCAGAGCAGGAAGAGAGGAAAAGGGGAAGTGGTTGTGGAAAGGAGGCTGGTGGAATCCTGGCCCAGTCATCCCCTCCCTGCAGGCACAATGCTGGGCTCCCTGGTTAATTTCCCTTGCAGTGTGGCCCTGGTGGAGGAGAGGCAAAGCCCCTACTGCCTGGGCCAGCCTGTAATTGCACTGGCAGGGCACATCCGCTCCTTAATTAGCAAAAGCCACAATATCCTGGTGGCTCAGAGAGCATGGCCCTAATTGTATTTCTGCAGCAACTAAAGGATAATTACCCTTCCCTATTGGTGCTGCTTTTAATTCTTTCTCTTTTTAATTGTGAGCGCTTCCTCTTTAGCCCACCCTTCCATCCTTGGGTTTATTCTCTCTATCCAGAATGGGGGTGGGGGCTTGCCTGGTGATGGAGACGCTCAGGAGCAAGGGCAGTCGGGGGAGACATGGAGAAGACTGGCAGCACCCAGCTCTGAGTCCCAGCCCTTTGCAGCAGTCAGCCTGAGACAGGGCACAGTTCTGCCATGGGTCTGAGAAAAACCAAGAAGTTCTTTTGTGGAAGATGTAAGGGAGAGGTGTCCCTCCCCCAGAGGCTGTTATGACCCTCTTCAGTCCATCCCCCAGTGAGGTGCTGGCTCTGAAATTCCCAGCTGCAGAAAACTGAGACCTCCTTTCCCCATCCTTTAACCTATCAAGAAACAGAGATAGATGTGTGGCGTTTAATTTCTTTTACAATAATAATAAGAATAAAAAGTCCCATATCTCTTTGCCACTGTTGAGAGAGGGTTAGTCCTTCATCCTTACATTGTTTTAGAGACAAGGACCTGAGTGTACCATTAGAGAACAATGCTAAGGTAACCCCTTAGTTAATAAGAGAGCTTAGCACCCTAGGTATTTCTAGGAAAAATAGCCCTTTCTTAGGGAGCTGGAAAATAAACTTCAAGAAGTAATAGATAAGCTAAAATGCACCACAAAGAGAGTTTGGAGAGAACCACAGCATCTCCCTGGATGTCACCTTGCAGGACTGACTGATCTAGCTTACATGAGCAACCCTGGCTCTAAAGCCACCACCCAAACCACTGCCCTGCTAGAAGCTCACTATGAGAGCAGGGGCTCTTGCTCATTATTCTTCCCAGTGCCTTGCATGCAGCCTGGCCTGTGATAAATGAAACTGGTTGGCAAAGAAGCAGAGTTCAGAGACACAGTAGGACTGTGAGGTGTGAACAGGGTAAATCCATTTTCGTTGGCTTTTTCCTTACAAAGCCAATGAAGATGAACTTGAACTGACTTGACTATGGCCCTAGTTTTCAAAATTCTTTAATTCTGGGCTCTATCTGAATTGGGAGAACAAGCAAGCAATAAAAGAGGCTGCTATAGTCTCAAAGAAATGTATCTTGAAAAAATGACCTGCCCTTGAGCCCACCAACTTCCACTCCCCACTTCTAATTTCTTTCCTCTGAATTTAGAGCTGTTCCCTTAGCAACACTTGTTTCCATGGTTTCCTCCATTACAATGATCCCAAACCCCTCCTCTCTTTTACCTCATGACAGTAATGGATGATGGGGATCCTCAATGTGGCCACTCCATGTTACCAGGGTAACAATTAACTGAGCCTTAATTTATCTTTTGTGAAGAGGGCTAGGGAATATGAAGCTTTTGATTTGGAGGGGGAGGGTCCAGGTCTAGAGCTACCATTCCCATAAAGAAGAAGTTAAGCTATTTGTCTTAATACTAGCCAGTAGGATTTAGTTCAAACATTTGTTCAGCCCTACTTTAAGCACAACTGAGTTTGAGGGAATCAAAGTGCTACAAGACATAGCTCCTAATATTGAAGGGCTTATAGTCTAGCACTAGGGCTCATGGTACTGCTGACCTCTGGCACAGATGGGGCCAATAAAGAATATGGCTCTTGACAGCACCATGATGATCAGGCATCTATCCACTCCCAGTATCCCCTCCTGCCAAGAACCAAAAAAAGACTGACTGAAGTGGTCTGTACTCACGTTAAGGCTTCTTCCAGGCTGTTATCAGAGAGTTTCTGTCCCAAAAGGGAAAGAACTTTGACTTCCCCTCTTTTTAGGGAAGTGGGGACCAATGCCAGCATCCCTGAGTAAGACTATTCGGTGCAGGAAAAAAGAGAAAAATAAACAGACTTGCTCATTGCCAATGCGACAAAGGACTGGGATAATCTCCAGTTCCAGGATCACCATCACCTACCTGCAACAAGTCTTCCTGGGAAGCGATGAGTCAGCTCTTACACTGAATTAGAGAGTCATTGTCTCCATCCATTCAGCTTTTCTATTTGTCACTGAAAATTCGGGCCGAAAGCGCAGCTCTGAAGAATGAAAGTGGAAAAACAAACAAATAAAAATCAAAGTGGAGAGGACACCAAACACCAAACACAAAACACCAAAGCTGAGAGCTGAGCAGCGTGAATCCAAAAGCTGAGATATCCATTCTGCGTCACACGCAATGCAGCTCTTCCAACTTCTAGCTTTCCATCTTCATCTCCAAAAGTTTTCACCAAATCTCTAATAATGAGGGCCAATTATCTACTTTTAGGGGAAATCACAAAATTCTCTGGACCCTCAGTGTGCTGGTAACAATAACCTGCACTGACTTGGAAAGATGATCACAGTATCTCCTAAAATGAAGGGGAAAAAAGCCATAGGACAATGTATAAGGCAGGTACGTTGAAGTAAGCTATGAATAGATAGGTAAAAAACGTCATCCTTGCAAGTCAGTGCAATCTGGATTAGCCAAAGTCAATTGCAGATCCTGAGTTCAGTACTCTGAGTTCTATCCTTGGCTACTGGATGGAACTAAGGCAGATTCAATCCTTCTGTGCACCCTGCTCACTCAGCTAGTCAGAAAAGGATAAATGGCATCCTCTTATTGGTTGACAAGGCAATACACACCAACCAATGAAAGAATGCTTCTTCCTTTCCAGCCAATAAGAGCTCAGTTATCTTCTTGAAAGGAAAGTAGACCCTTTGTCCATAAAGAAAATAAGCAGAAAGTGAATAATAATTAAAAAAAAAATCAACTGTTGCTATGGGACATTACTGATGTAATCAATGATAGCTGCCACAGAGAATTCATAAAGGAAAGCACTTCTTTGGGAAGAAAAGTACAAAAAGCAGACCAGCTGTCTGGTCTGGTCTAAAGGGAAGTTTCTATAGTAACATGTGAGAGAAAAGCATTTTAATGTAAATACCCCCAAAACTATCAAGTCAGTTCACTGAGGGAATTTTTGGCCTTTTAAACTTATGCTGAAATTACAATGATCAAAAATTTTTACATTAATAATAAATGAAGGAAATGGAGAGAAATGAAGAGAACAAGATGAAAAAAGAAAAGACATGTGTGTTTACTGGTGCAGGGCACCACAGATAACCATATTATAGTTACTGCCTGAAACGGAAATATTCTCCATTCCTGTGTTGTCAAGTAATACCTCAGTTTAAAACAAAGTTCTTTTTGTTGTTGTTGTTGTTGTTTGGAAAAGAGAAAATTCATGGCTCTTAAACAGACATATTTGAGGTGAAATAGTGCACAGAGCACAGGCTGTTCTGGTAACTTGCTAGCAATTTCCTCTGAAATCACTCTGAGAATGTTACAGCTGCCTTCCGAAAATTATGAGTGAAATAATTTCCTACCCAGATGTTTCAAATGAACACAGGCAAGGCAAGGCTGACAGGTGAAACATTGATTGACAATGTTTGTCCATCAAGGGAAACAGAAAAACTCAGAGGGTTAGAAGCTTCAGGTGCTGTATTTGCTAATTATGAAGGCAATGCTGGGGAGGAAGAAAAGAGGAGAGAATCTTGAGGAATCAAATGAGAGTGATGCTAGTGTCCATTTGCTAAGGGAGACACATTTCCCTCTGCCTGTGCTTTCTATGTGGTCTATGGGGCAAGGTGAGAAGTGAGGGTAATCCAGAATTCAGCCCCCTCCCCTGAGGGGAGTGGTTTACTGGGGGGAGAGATGACTCTTAAACCAGGGAGAAAGCTTCTCTCTATAGTAGACACCCTTGGACAATTTCCTTGTTTCCCTCCTGTTCATTCATAAAAAGCAAATTTTTTTTTTCTCATTTTAAGGGGGAAAAAGAGAGGATGGGGACAGGAACTCAGCTCCTCCAGTATAAAGGACTAAATGAAAAATATAAAAGCCCAAATTGTAAATCCTGGAGAAATGAAGCCAGTGGGGTGGAGCGGGGGAGGGGAGGACTGTAGTGGTGGCAAGGTAAGTTGCTTTGCTATGCGCCTTGACTTAAAAGAAAAACAAACAAACGAACAAACAACAAACATCTTCCAGGATTTCCCCAGACGGGGCCTTATGCGGGATCAGTGCGCCTCTCACCTAGCCCGGAGAAGGCAGGGGCTCCCCAGGAGATATTTTAAATAATCTAGGTCTTCATGGATAATCAGTGGCCAAAGCCCCTCCACCCACCGTAACCAAGGCAACAGGAGGCAGGGGCTGCGATTGGTTGCCTGGTAACCATGCTAGTGCCTGAAGCCCTGTCCCTTCTCTTCCTCCTCCACCTCCGTTTGCCCTTTTGTGATAGCGTCTCTCCCTCCGCTGTTCCCCTTCTTGGTCAAACAATCATCTTTGCTCCTCATACAAAGGTCACTTTGGGCCCCTTTGGGTAAAAAACGCGTACCTTGATGTTCTTTTTGGACAGATTTCATCCACGCTTGAGTGTTAAGACCTAGATAAAATGTGCTTCTTACCTCGGCTTCAATATCTTCTCCCTTCACCCCACTCTTTCCCTTTCACGCATTCTCATTAAGGCGTACAGAGAGCGCGGGGAGGAAGGAAGGAAGGGAAAAAAGAAAGGAGAGAGAGCGAGAGGGAGCGCGGGGGAGCGCAGGATTTAAATGTGGCGATTTTTCACGGAACACCAGAGCCTGGGGCTCGCAGTAGATCCTCTGTCCCGCTTGCCCCTTTGCTCACCGCCTGCAATCGTTCCTCTGCTCCCAGCACCATTGCCTGCATTTGGCGCCAAGTTTTTCCACTGGTCGTAGCCAGGGCGAGAGAGAATGCTCTCCTAGATTCCCACACCTAAATCCCTGGAGAAATGAGGAAGATGAATCCCGCCTTCTTCCACGAACCTGTGTCACCTCCCGACCTCCTCCGCGTGGGATCTGAGGGGCCGCGAGCGCAAGTGGCGTGGGGCTGGGAGGCCGAGCCGCGCGCAGGCACAGACCATCGGCACCCTAGGGTCGGGGCGCTGTCCAGCCTCTGGTGCTGAAGCTGGGGGCTCGGATTTGCTGCGGGAGGGGCTCCAGGGACATTTAGCAGCCTGATTCTCAGCCAACTCCAAGCGGGTAGCGACTCGAAGGAGAGGCGCTTGGTCCGCGGAGTGGAAAGGCTATACACTAGGAAGCAACCGCATTAGACGCTCCCTTTCAGCAGATAAGGGCTCCCCCAGGGCGCAATCCCTAGCGCCTCTCATTCCCCTTCCTGGAATTATTTGCCGCAATTGCGGCGGGTAGGAAGAAGGGCCCTTTGCACTGGGGCGATTACCCAGTGGTCTCCTGGTAGTTTTCACATTTTTTCCTGCGGTTCTGGGCTCTCTGGGTGCTGTCCGGCAGAGTCCCCGGACTCCTGGCGCTCAGATTTGGTGGCAGGCAAAGCAAAGAGGAGAGGCTTGGAACGCGGAACCCAGCGGCTCTTCTGCATGCAACAAGTCAGCTGCATCTAGAATCAGGGGCGAGAAGCGCGGGAGGAGCGGCGGCGGCGGGTTTGGGGCGGCTGGGTTGCGAGAGTCTGCTACCGCGAGGCTGTGGGACAGTCTTTCTCCTACTGGGCGCCGGACCGAGCGAAACAAACTGCAAGCCGGGTTTCCGCGTCGCCGGGGGGGAGTACTGGAACGAGACGCCCCCACACCTCTAGCCCGCCCAGCATCCCCTAGGAGCGCTGACCTGCTGGGCTCCAGAGTCGCTTTCCGTCCTCTTCATTTTGGCATGGCACATTTGGCGGGTGCCAAGCCTGGCCGCTCGCTTCCCCGGCCCTCCAGAGCAGCCTCAGGCTTAGCTTCCCGAATATCAGCTCCAGTCGGCTGCTCCTCCAGTCCCAAGCCCTTGACCTGGAGGAGAGAACTGGACGGGTGACCTCGGCTGGGATTTTACCTGGCATGGGTCGCCACGGCTAGGGAGGAAGACCACTTGCTCTCCGCTTCTTTCTGGAAGAAAGCCCCTCACAACCCAGCTGCCGGCACTTTGCTTCCCCGCAAGAGCCACAGTGCAAGCAGCAGCGCAGTGCGGAGGAAGTGATGGGGTTTAAGGAAGCTGTTTGTGAAGTGCCCCTTGAATACTTGCCTCTCTGAGGCCGTCAGTCCTGGCCGGGTCCGTAGTCCTGGCATGGTCCCCCGGGTGCAAACACAGTCGCCGCGGCTGCCGGGCCAGGGGAGAACAGCTGTTTTAAAGCCGAGACCAACCCACGGGTGGCCTGTCAGGGCCAAGGATGTTCATGACGTCATCCTGAAGGCAAGCGGAGAAAGCGAGTGTGTGTGTGTGTGTGTGTGTGTGTGTGTGTGTGTGTGGAGGGAGGGGGGAGTCGCGCTTCACATCAAACGTCCCCTGTGGCCATGGCAACAGCTTTGGGAGAGGGGGTGCCCGTCCTCATGCCAGCAGCGGGCAGCCTGCCACTCTTGCCGGGGTCCAGCGCTCCGCTGGGGTAAGGTCCGGCATTAGTGCTGAATCCAGTTGCGCCCGGACCAGAAGAGGTACCAAAGCCAGTCCTGTACCGTGCCCGGGCTGTTCATAGCGGGTGGGTGGCTGCCTGGTCCCAGAGAAGAGGCTGGGGGGACTGCAGGCGTCCGGAGGCAATTAAGAGAAACCTTCATTTTCACAGGGCCATTTTCTATTCTTCCACCACCCCACCTGGGCAGGTTGGACCCGGTTCACCTGACCGCTCACAGACGTGTTCTCACTCACACTCGACCGACGCATGCTGGAGCAGAGCACACCCAGGCAGCACCCACGCAGGACCCACCCACCTGCCCGGTTCCTCGCCTGCATACACGACAAACTGAGGCTTCAAAGCAGCCATGAGAGCTTCAGAAAATGACAAACCCACCACGGATCCAGTGCGCATCTAGAGGGCGCAAACTGGTGACCAGCGAACCAGACGGGATACAAAAATGTTTGTGAGGTTCCCACAGTATTTTAAAAATTTGAAGTACTTGTCAAAAAGATTGGAAGAGTTCGCAGAGAAATCTGGGTTTTCCGTCTCTCTCTCCCTCTCTCTAAAACGATATTCTTGTCATGGCCTTTCCATGTCTCTTGAATAGGGGCTGGCATTCTGCATGTAGGGAGAAGCCCTGATCAGTGTACACAGGACTGGGGTCCAGGCAAATGTAGGCCCTCTTCTCCTTTTCGTCAATATCACCAAGTCCATTTATCATCAATCTTATCCTTTTACGCTTTTTTCCTACAGTAAAGAGGAAAGTGTGGCCAAGAGCAGTGACTCACGCCTGTAATCCAGGCACTTTGAAAGGTAAAGGTGGGAAGATCACTTGAGTCCAGGAGTTCGGGAGACCAGCCTAGGTAACACAGTGAGACCCCCGTCTCAAAAAAAAAAAAAAAAAGAAAGAAAGAAAGAGGAAAGCAAAACTGTTTTTTGTCTCTGGCTTGTTCCCTGCAGGCCCAGCCCTGGACGGACATACAAGCATCTGTGCTGCCCACCATCCAGCCAACACAGGCAGCAGGATATTTCCTTCTAGTCAGACTGGTGAGTTTTTGTTTTGTTTTTTGTTTTTCACTTTCACATTTCAAAATATGCAAGTATTTGAGAAACATTTTTTAAAATCATATCTTTCATTTATCACTCAGATATTTGATCACATGGAACTTTCTTTACATTTTTTAAACGTGAGGAATAATATCTTATTCATAAATACGTGGAAAAATAAAAGAAGAAAATATTTTAATTACTCTCAGACTCACCCATTCTTATGTAAATGTAACACTGTTTTGCATTTTTCTGGTTGGCAGTCTGAATACAGCTGTAAAATACATTCTTGTGAATGCAATGAGCCAACCAACATACAAGTAAAAAGCACCACCAACAGGGTCATATAGTTGTGTCTTATGCATACTCTCTCACACAGTCACATTTACCAGTTCATACATTAAATGTGCATTTTGAATATTGTACATGCAACAATATGGAAGAGGGATTATCTTTTTTTTTTTTTTGAGACGGAGTCTCGCTCTGTCGCCCAGGCTCGAGTGCAGTGGCCTGATCTCGACTCACTGCAAGCTCTGCCTCCCAGGTTCATGCAATTCCCCTACCTCAGCCTCCGGAGTAGCTGGGACTACAGGCACCCGCCACCATGCCAGGCTAATTTTTTGTATTTTTAGTAGAGATGGGGTTTCACCATGTTAGCCAGGATGGTCTCAATCTCCTGATTTCGTGATCTGCCCGCCTCGGCCTCCCAAAAGTGCTGGGATTACAGGCGTGAGCCACCGTGCTCAGCCAGAAGTGGGGTATCTTCTTTCTCCATTATCAGTAGACTTCCCCCTAAGGAAAAACAGGTTCTTATTTATAATGCACTTGCTCTCTTAGCCAAGCGTCTGAAAAATTTTGGTTGAAAGCCAAGGTAACTTTGTACTAGATCAACTCCAAATCTTGGCCAACATTGATTGTTTTTAGCCTATTCAGAAAAAATTGTGGCAGAGAAAGATTCTGCATTTATCTCTTGCTGAAAATCTGTTTGACCTTTGGCCTGATTGGCTCCTTAACACAGGACATTTTTCTTGCAACTGTTCCATTTGTGAATCTTACAGCTACGCCGTAGAGGGAGTGTAAGTAATACTATTAATGCTCCATTCATTATCTCTATAAAGCACTTTAAGTTTTCACTGAGTATTTTACATGATATATCTCGCTTGATTCTAGAAGCTGACCATTTTATAGATAAAGAAGCAGAGTTCAGACTGTTTAATTCACCTTGAGTTCCCAGTGCTCCTTCTGCTGGAAAGACCCACTGTCTCCCTTATATGAGTCATCAAAATTATTTGGTTGCATCTGTAGTCCTAGCTACTCAGAATGCTGAGGTGGGAGGATCAGTTGGGCCAAGGAGTTCAAGGCTGTAGTGAGCTATGATTGCACCACTGCACTCTAGCCGGGGCAACAAAGAACTTGTCTCTTAACACACACACACACACACACACACACAAAAACCGAAAACAAAAAATAAACAGTTAAACAGAAAATTTGTAAAAGTGAAAAGCCAACATACACAAACATTTGGAATTTTTATGCTTTATTTAAAATAGAAATGTAAATTATAAAATGTGGAGTACCATTTTCCACATACTGAATTGACAAAAAAATGTAAAAACCTACTTCCCAATGTTGGAGAGGGTATGGTGAAATAAGTGCTCATACCTATGGAGGTTTCAAGTTGGTTAAATTCACTGGAAAGTAATTTTGCAAGTTGTATCAAGGGTCATAGTGACCAGCCTGGGCAATATAGCAGGACCCTGTCTCTACAAAAAAAAAAAAAAAAAAAAAAGTCATAAACATTAACACTTTCATACCCTTTGGACCAGTTCTTCTTGGGGTATCTTAATAAAATAATCTTGGCCTGGTGCAGTGGCTCATGCCTGTAATCCCAGCACTTTAGAAGGCCAAGATAAATGGATCACCTGAGGTCAGGAGTTCAAGATCAGCCTGACCAACAAGGAGAAACCGCATCTCTACTAAAAATACAAAATTAGCAGGGCGTGGTGGCGCATGCCTGTAATACCAGCTACTTGGGAGGCTGAAGCAGAAGAATCACTTGAAACCAAGAGGCAGAGGTTGCAGTGAGCCGAGTTGGCGCCACTACACTCTAGCCTGGGCAACAAGAGCGAAACTCTGTCTTAAATAAATAAATAAATAAATAATCTTTAATGCAGAAAATGCTAGACATGTAAAGGTGTCCATTGTCACATTAATATTTTTAAAAATGGAAGCAACGTAATATCCAACTCTAAAACTAATATTTATGCTGAAACAAGAGCCAAGAAAATACTTATAATGTTAAGGAAGGAAATTAGCAGAACACAGAACTGTCTTTACAGATGTCATTAAAGTAAGAGCTTTAGAAAGCATACATACAGAAAAAATAGAACAGAAGTACATCAAAGTATGATAAAGTTTCTGTTAAAGAGATCACAGGTGACTTTTAAATGTTTTCTTTTTATCATGTTTTCCAAATTTTCTGAAACATGATTAGGTAGTTTCTATAATTAAAATATAGTATGATACAAATATGAGAGTAGATGGTATTTATTAGGCATCTATTCCTTATTTGGCACTGTTCCAGATGGGCATAATCAGGGCAGGTGTGGAGACTGGGTTTCAGACCTGTGCAGGTTGCTGCAGATCTTGCCTGGGGTATTAGGTGACCATGAGAGAGTTTGACCTTATCTGTAAAGAGCTGATAAGTGGCATTTGGTTTTTACTTGACTCAAATACATCATCAGCCCAGCTGCCCTTGTTCTCCTCCTCAATAAGCTTGCTTCTGTTCCTGATATCTACTTTCTGACCACTTCCTTCTACACATCAAATAATAACGAAAACAATAATAATATTTCTTTTACATTTTTAATAGCACTTCACATTTTTCAATGCTCTCCAACACAATGTTTTACATAACTTTATAGCAACTACTACCAAAAAATCCCCACTTAAATTTAATTACCACAACTCTGTGAAATAGGTGTTATTTTCTCCAGGTTTGTTTATTCTCTGTTTAGGTGCTGTGCCAGAAGCCACACAGCTGATAAGTGGTGGATCCATCTTGAATTTGACTTCTAGACACTCCCTTTCATAAGACAGTGGGAGTTTAATCATGGATAACAATTCTTCTTTGGATTAGAACTTAATTGGAGGACAGATTGGCAGCTCAGCTAACCTTACTGCCATCACCATTAGACAAATAAAGATAAATCTGTACACTACCAGTTTCCTCAATATTCTCATGCATTCATTTCTTGGAATTGACAAACCATGGACCAGATGTCAAAAGATTCTGTGAGGGTCAGGCATCTTGGAGACGTTACTGAGTTTCTAGATGGGTTGACATTTTAAAATGAAGCTTTTCTGGAAAGGAGATTGGACTACAGGTGCTAAGAAACTTGCTTGCTATGGATGGTTAAGGAGGCACCTGTCTTGTGCCAACAACCAGACACCTCAAATGTGGAATTAGAGAACAGTGCAGTGAATGAAGTCATCACACTCACTTCCCACACGTTGGGCATTCTAAGGAAATTTGGATCTCTCGTCTTTCATCCCAACTGTGTCGCAAATATTTATAAACATTTGCCAGATTACCAAGAGAGCCTTAAAATTTAATTTCAAGGACTAACCAAGCACCTGATGGATTTTGTCATATCTGAAGACCAGAGAAGGCTGTTCTTTAAAAAGAAAACGTAATTTTGGCAATAGTGACACCAGTTCAGAAAGAAGTTCTTTTAGGATTTTGACTCTACTTACCTCTAGAAATTAAAATCCAATAATAGAGAATTATAAATATCTTTGGTTCTTGGTTCCTGGGATACTTTTAATGGCCAAAGTAACCCGGGCAATTCTAAAAGTAACACAGAGCTATTCTTAAATAATATAATCATCTTAAGAAATGATAAATTCATAATTTGCTCCAACTGTGAAAAACTGTGCACATTAGGTGATCAGGAGATTTTTTAAAGTCTCTCTTAAAATTTTCCATTGAAAGTAGAGATTTTTAGACATTTAAAAATCCAGCTATACACCAATTGTGAAAGATATACATAGTCAAATGGACACAGACCTTGAACGTCAAGAGTTAAGAAAAAAATATTCTAGACATTACTACCCCAAACCAACCTTGTATAATAACTAATGTAGAATTTAAAGTGAAAAGCATTAAATAGGAACATGTTATAATAATATTAATGATAAAGAGAGTAATTGGCCAGGAAGGTATAACAATTCTGAGCCTGAATACATCAAACAACACAGCATCAAAATATAAAAAACAAGGCTGGGTGCAATGCCTTGTACCTATAATTTCAACACTTTGGAAGACTGAGGTGGGAGGATTGCTTGAGACCAGGAGTTCAAAACCAGCCTGGGCAACATAGTGAGACCCCATCTCTACAGAAAGAAAGAAAGAGAAAGAAAGAAAGAAAGAAAGAAAGAAAGAAAGAAAGAAAGAAAGAAAGAAAAAAGAAAGAAAGAAAGAAAGAAAGAAAGAAAGAAAGAAAGAAAGAAGAACGAAAGAAAGAAAGAAAGAAAGAAAGAAAGAAAGAAAGAAAGAAAGAAAGGCAGGTTTGCATAGAGAAATAAACCAAAACCACCTACAATTCATTATACTGAGATATTTTAGTATACCTGTATCAGAAACTGACAGATGAAGCATTAAGATATTTCAAGTATTCGTATGAATATAGACAATTTTAACTATACAATCAGTAAGTTGATTCCCCATCCCTCTATTTGTGTGTGCATGTGTGTGTATCTGCACTCAACAAATAAAGAACACATATCCTTTTCAGGCACACATGGAATATTTGTAAAAATTGTTAAATACTACTTCATAAAGAAAATCTCAAAAAATACTGAAGAATCAATATGATTTAGATAAAATCAGAAATCAATATTAAAAGCAGAACTCAAGACTGAAAATATAAGCAAAGGCACATCAGTGTTGTGTGGGAAACAAAAAAAAATTAAATTAAAAATATAACCAAAGGAACCCA